GAGGGTGGGGGAGGGGAGGGTAAAGGGGAAAGAGCAACCAAAGGACTTACATGCAGGCATAGAGGCCTAACCAATGGACACGGACAACGGGGGGGTGGGGGGTGGGGGGGGGGGGGATGTGGGGACAGGGACACATATGTAATATCTTAATCAATAAAAAAAATTAAAAAAAATAATGTTGCTGTGTTCATCGATACAGAACCCTGACGTTCTATCAGCTGGTCATCTTTCTGTGTTGGTGGGTTTGGCCTAACATGTAATTCTGTCATTTCCATTGCATTCAAAGGTATTTCTCTGAAAGCAGCAGCTGCGTCAGTCAAGAAAGAATCAGAGGATCCTAATTACTATCAATATAATATGCAAGGTAATACTATTTTATAATCATTTTCTCCTCCCAAAGTTATTCAGGATGAAAAATTGCAATTGCCACCCTCCTGTGTGGGCTGCCCCTCACCATCTTCCCAATAGCCCCTCTCCGCCCACTCCCTGCTGCCACAGCCGCCCTCCTGCTCCTTGACTTCCAGTATGACCAAGCGTGGGCAAGAGGCTGGAAAGAGGAAAAAAGCTTTCTTCAGGTAATTGCAGAAGTGGCAAATAAACTAAAGGTTAATACTGTCATCAGGCCGTGGGCCCTCCTACAACACTGTTGGCTGTGCGTGTCCAACTTGAAATATGTGAGGAGTCTTCCATTCTGACCTCAGTTGCTCTGGTTTCAATCTTGAGAATGGAAATTAAAGCCCCCAGTGTTAGTCATCACACACTGAATAGTGATAATGTGACAGGTTTCTTCATTGGAAGAAAAACTTGATATCAGTTAGTTTTGTGCCCATGTCTGTACTTCACAATGAGGAAAAAATTATAAAAAAAGCATAAAAGAAATGCTTTTTTGTTGTTGCTGGCACACAGAGATTAATTAGTAATTTTATAGTAAGAGTCACTGATAATAAAAACCAAAATGTATTGGGATTCAGTAATTTGCCTTGCAAATAAAGTATTGCTGGGTTCTCCCTTCCCTCTCTATTTTTACTTAAAAGAATTTTGGGGCCCTAGCTGGTTTGGCTCAGTGGATAGAGTATCCTGGGTTTGATTACAGCCAAGGACACATTCCTCGGTTGCAGGCTTGAACCCTAGCCACGTGTGGGAAGCAACCAAGCGATGTGTCTCTCTCACAAAAAGAAGCATAAGATGTCCCCTTTTTGCAACCCTTCAAGTAACAGTGCATCTCAGCTGTAATCACCAGTGGCCATTAAAACCAATTGTTAAATGTCAATAGGATTTTATCACGAGTAGATCAGGCTGACAGGTTCTAACTCACTCACTAGTCCAATGTTAACCTCATAAAGTAGAGGTAACCAGATATTATGTGCCTCCAGGTGGGATCTAGTAAGAAGTACTCCTTTGGGATTCTTGCCCTCCAAAATCAAACCTACGTCTGATGCAGTCTTTAGATTTACCTACCAATTTTCAGGAAATGTGGGAGATACAGAAACATAGGAAAACAACACTCCAAGGTCGCAGACAGTAAACGCCAGAGTGGTAGAAGCTCGACAAGACATGTGCTGATTTCTTTTTCCTTTTTTTTCTAATATATTTTTATTGATTTCAGAGAGGAAGACAGGAGAGAGAGATAGAAACATCAATGATGAGAGAATCATTGATCGGCTGCCTCCTGCACACCCCCTACTGGGGATCGAGCCCACAACCCGGGCATGTGCCCTTGACCAGAATCGAACCCGAGACCCTTCAGTCTGCAGGCTGACACTCCATCCACCGAGCCAAACCAGCTAGGGCATGTGCTAATTTCTTCATCAAATAATTGCAAGGTTTTTTTTAGATGGAGAGAAACCTGTTTTATAGTAAAAGAGATTTAAATGACATTGTGTGGGCTTTGTTGGGATCCTGATTTAAGCAAACCAACTGCAAAAAGACAATTACTGCTTCCTGTTGAATGCCAAATTATCACTGATGGCAGGAATTGGAAAGTCCATTTGTAACCATTATAATAAAAGATTGGATCAAGAAGGAATCCTCAGCCCTAGCCGGTTTTTCTCAGTGGTTAGAGCGTTAGCCTGCAGACCAAAGGGTCTTGGGTTCAATTCCCGGTCAAGGGCACATACCTCAGTTGCAGGTTTGATCCCCAGCCCCATGGGGTATGTGCAGGAGACAACCAATTGATGTGTCTCTCTTTCCCCACCTCCTCCCTCCCACTGAAAATCGGTGGCAAAAATATCTTCAGGTGGAGATTTGAAAAAAAGGAATCATTAGTGGATGCTAAATCTAGAGAGAAATTTAGGAGTGGAATACTTATGTGATCTTAAAGTTTCTCCCCACAGGCTGTTGGCCAGTTGCAAGAGTGAGGAAAAAAACAGTAATTTTACATTGGAAACATCAAAAAATACCTTGATCAGATGATCAAAATTCACATCACCAGAGAGAGACATATGAACTCTTAGTTGGTCTGGGCTGCTATAACAGAATCCATAGAATGGGGGTCTTAGAAGCAACAGGCATTTATTTCTCACAGTTCTGGAGGCTGGAAAGTCCAAGGTCAAGGTGCTGGCAGGTCCAATGTCTGGTGAGGACCCACCTCCTGGTTCGTAGATGATCTTCTCAATGTGTCCTCCCATGATGTCCTCCAAGGAAGTTCCTGGCATCTCTTCTATAAGGGCACTAATGCCAATCCTGATGGCCCCACCCCCATGACCTAATCACTTTGGAAAGGCCCCACCTCCAAGTACCATCACATGGGGGTAAGATTTTGACATTTGAATTTGGGGGAAACACAGATATTCAGTCTATAGCAGACAGCATATGCCTCCAGATGTGATACCCTGAGAAGGATAGCCCATCATCTAGGCAGTATTCTGGCCCAAAATGCAAAACTTGAATCCTATCATGAAGAAACATCAGACAGGCTCAAAATGAGGAACATCTATTGTGGGGGAATGAGGGAGAGGGGTTTCTAGTCTTAAAAAATGGCAATGCCATAAATATCAAACACAGACTATGGAACTGTTCCATAAAGGAGACTAAAGAGACATGACAACAAAAACCATCCTGATCACACCCTGGATCCTTTACGGACGGGGAAGAGCTACAAAGGACATTTGGGGCAACCAACCAAATGCGAATACAAGCCCTGGCCGGTTTGGCTCAGTGGATACAGCGTCAGCCTGCGGACTACAGGGTCCCAGGTTCAATTCCGGCCGAGGGCACATGCCTGGAGTGTGGGCTCGATCCCCAGTGTGGGGCATGCAGGAGGCAGCCAATCAGTGATTCTGATTCTCATCATTGATGTTTCTGTCTTTCACTCTCTCTTCCTCTCTGAAATCAATAAAAAAATACTTAAAAAATGGGAATACAAATGATAGATTAAGTAAAAGTATTGCCTCAATGTTAAATGCTGTGATTTTTATAACTATTCTGGGATCATATAAGAGAATATCCCTTTTCTTAGGAAATAATCACTAAAGTGTTTAGAGATAAAGAGCCATGGTGTATGTAACTTTATTTCAAATGGTTGGGGCGGGGGAATATATATATATATCCCATATCAATAGATTGGGGGGAGGAAAGGGAAAGATTACAAATGATAAAGGAAGTGATAAAATGTTCACATGTTATCTGAGTAAAGGGTATATAGATCTTTGTTGTATTTTATTCTTGCAATTTCTCTGTAAGTTTAAAATTATTTCAAAATAAAAAGCTCTTTTTAGAAAAACACGGTCCTGAGACAATTAAGAAAAGTTGAACAATGACTAGATGTGAGATGATGATAAAGAATAATTGTTCACCTGGGGCGTCATCATGATATTGGAGTGATGCTGAAGGCAGAGAATTGTTGTCTTACTGGTCCCTACACAGTATTTGCGCGTTGAATTCTACCATATCTGGGATTTCCTTTGAACCAGCAGCGGGGTTGGGGTGGGGTGGGGTGGGCACAGAGGGAACAGGGGCACAGGAGTTGATGACTCTTGGCAATGGGGGATGGGCACGTGGTTTCATTATACCATCTCTGTTATGTATGTTCGAAAATTTCCCAAAGGACAAATAAAGGAACAACGAAAAAATGTAAAGAAAGGGTCACTTGTACAAGGAGTCAAAATATTTCATGTACTGTACATCCCTGGGCGGATCTGGAATTATTTGCATTGTTTTAAATGATTTTTCTTTTTGTATTTCCAGTTGTTTTACATATTGCTTGCTTTCCTTTCAGAAAGCCATCATTCTTCTGCGATCAATGAAGTAATAGAAATGGAATTGCCAATGGAAGGTTAGAAACACGAAGCATTTAATTTCGTGTGTGTGTGTGTGTGCGTGTGTGTATTTCAGTTTACAGTATTTTACAAAGAGCACACATGTATGAAAATAAAGAAGGGGACTTCCTGGCATGCTTTTTTAGAGAGCTGGCTGGGTTCTAGTCCTAAAATGTCATCTTAAGGACTCTCCCACTCTTTTACTTTTGTAAAATGTGGTTTTGCTTACCGCACCTGGATGCAGAAGTTAAGTGGTGAGAAAACTTGGTACTGGTGCCATTTGTTGTCCTATTTCATTTTGTCTTTTGGATGGGCATGCCCACATTTTTTTGAACTGAGCCGAAAAGTATTTTAGGAAATTCTTTTTTTGTTTGTTTTGTGAATCCTCACCCGAGGATATTTTTTTAATTAATTTTTAGAAGGAGTAGAAGGAAGGGAATGGGGCAAGAGTAAAAGAAATAGCAAGACACACATCGATTGTTTGCCTCCCACACATGCCCCACCAGGGGGCCCTGGATGGAACCCGCAACCCAGGTACAAGCCCTTGACTAGAAATCACACCCACGAGCCTTCAGTGCACAGGCAACGCTCTTAACCACTGAGCCACAGTGGCCAGCGCTTTTGTGGGGTTTTTTTCAACGTGGCATAATATTTTAGTAAAACTAATTTAAAATTAAATTTATTGGGGTAACTGTTTGGTTTTATTGTTCAGTGTTTGTTTAAATGCTATACCCAGTAGGTACAAACATATTCTAAGGATATTCTTTATCATTAAAATATTTTTTATTTTTCATAGAAATGAGACCATTTATTCTGGAGTTTGTGGATTTTCAGCCCATTGAATTAAAATAATATACATTTTTTTATTGTGCTTCATTTAGTAATCTGCTAAAAATATTTTTAGCTCTGATGCTGAAATGTGAGCTGATCACATTTAATATGAGTTCTTTTATTTTATGTCTATAAATAAAGTATATCATTCTATCCTGGCATTTAATAAAATGTCACTTATCTGAACAGATGGGATTTTGAATTAGTAAAATCGGAAGTATAAAATTGCAATTTTATCATTTTTCCAATCCGAAATGATTTAACAAGAAGACAGTAGTATTTGGACCATAGTGTATAAACTATACAGATTATACTTTTAAAATAAACATTTATACCCTTGAAATTGTATTTTTTTTTCTGAGTGAGTCCTTTTTACTTAGAGATATTACTTACCTTGAAATATCACAGGGTCTGAACTGGTTTTCCCGTGATTAGGGGAATTTTGAGATTGAATGAATATTCCCATCTTAATTTGATAATTCCATCATACTTCACTTTTTTGAATTCTAAAAATGGTTTCATGAAGTTGTTTATTTTATGGGGAGGAAACCTCTTGTCATTATTTATAACAGAGAAAACGTGGTGCTGTTTCAGTGTGCAGCAGGTAGAGAATGGATCGTGGTGACCCATTTGGAAAAATGCTCCCAGTAAGCTCAGGGAGAAACACGCCTGTCTGGCTCAAGACAAGTTATACCCAAAACAGAGAGGGACAAAAAGAAACCACAGTTTACAGTGGGATCTCAATTTTGTTTAGAAAAATTAATATAGTCAAAATAGTGGAGTAAGAAAATGCCGTGCTCACCTCCTCCCAGGACCACATCAAAATTACAACTAAACTACAGAACAGCCATCATTGCGAACCCCCTGAAGTCTAGCTGAACAGAAGCCCCATAACTAAGGACATGTAGAAGAAGCCACATTGAGACTGGTAGGAGGGGCGGACAGCCAGACGGCTGGTCCCACACCTGTGTGTGACGGTTTAAAATCTGGAGGGATTTCTTGGCTTCAGAAGTCCCCCATGAGGAGCGAAGGACCCCAGCCCAGGGTTCCAGTGCTGGGAAGAAAAGTCCCCATAGCTTCTGGCCAGTGGAGATTGTGGCTGAGTGAGACGGAGGCTGCTGGAGTCCCAGGGGCTCCTCCTAAAGGGCCTACGCACGGACTTACTGGGACTCACTTACTCTAAGCTCCTGTGCTGGGGCAGCAGCTGAAAAGGTGCCAGGAACATATGGGAAGAAACTGAATTGTCTGGTTTCAGGGCAAGGGCTAGAGGGACACTTCTCCCAGACAAAAGTGCCAGGAGGCACCATTGCTCCTTTGTTGAACCCTCCCTCCTACCACAGCCTGCAGGCTTAGGCAAGTGCCACATCTGAGTCCCCATCAACTTGGCTAACACCCTTCACCCTGCCCTGTTGATTCCCTGAGACCCCACCCCACCCAACTTGCAGGCCCACCCAAGCTGCTTTCACTGGGTTTTCCATACAAACGGCCCCTCTTGGCTCAGACTGTGGGCTTTACTAGGGTCTCTAAAAGGCTCACAGACCCCATACAAGCAGCATCTGGCCTCACCATGCACTGTACCGCTCGCTAAGCAGCCCTAAGCCTGGACTAACTGCAGCCAGCCTCTCCCGGGCACCTCCTCGCACAGCACAAGTGACAGCCATCTGCAGATCACCGACGCTCATACCAAGGGGCCCCGGGCAGGGCATAGGCACTGATAGAACCTGGCCTGCACCGGAGCATCACCAAAACACCTCAACGGGTGACACACCCAAAGGACAGGCTCGGCAGGCACCAGAGGCCCCGCCACCGTGTCTCCTGGTCCATAGCGTTCGCCCCTGCACAACACTCCATTTGTAAGGATGGGTTGGTGCTGATTCACCTGTACTTTGTTGCCTCTGTGGCTCCTTGTGTCTGTCTGAAGTCTTGCTCTTCAGATGCATAATCTCAACTCCCGAGTGATCATTCACACAACACGTGAACTGAGCTTTGAGTTCCTGGGATAGGACTAGACAGGCTCATTTATATTTCTCGCCTAGAATTTAAGTGAATGTTGTATTTATCATTTGACCACAAACATGATAACATCAGCTCTGCTTTTACTATCAGCCCTCGTTGAGCATTTCTGTGACTCTGTTAAACCATTTTTCATAGGATGTCTGTCTACTACTTAAATGTCCTCCTGGACACACTTATATGTCTTATTTCTTTTCCCCCTTTTAAACTGAGAATAACAACAAAGGTAATATACCTTTAAACACCGTTCTTTTAAAATCTGCAGTTTCATGGTCAAAATCCCCTTTGACCATTAAACTGCGGAGACTCAAATATCATCTGATGCCAAGCCATCTTGTTTTCCTGCAGCTAAATGTTCTCAAGGTTTTAAAAAATGCATTCTGGACTTCTGAGTAATGGCACATTTTTAGAGGAGAATTGGCCTAATTTTCTGTAAGTTCTAAATTTCAATTCTGTTTTAAGGAAACACAAATCCATCCAATACTACAAGTTCTGCAGCAGGTGTTGAAGATCTTAACATCGTTCAGGTGACAATTCCAGGTATGGAAGTTTATCTGGCTTCATCATAATTTATATTATACTAGAGGCCCCATGCATGAAACTTGTGCAAGAATAGGCCTTCCTTCCCCTGGCTGCTGGCACCGGCTTCCCTCTGGCACCTGGGACCCGGGATTTCCTCGCAGCTCCAGATTCATCCAGAAGATCATCCAGAAGGATGCCCGGTCTTATTAGCATATTATGCTTTTATTATAGATTTTTTATTTTCTTATATTTTAAACATTTTCTGACATGAATTCGTCTCTTGGAGTTGTGTTGTTGTTGATGTTGTTTCCTTAGTTCATCCTATTAATTATGGGATGACAATTCAGGAATATAGAATATGCTGCAGATCCCCACTCACTGAATATCTTGCCTGTATCAAACATTGTTAATCAAATATATTGTTCTCCCAGCCATGCCCTGGCATTATGGGAAAATACACCTCAAAGCAGATAACTCCAAACACTAGCTACGATTGAATTGGATTTGGCCACAGAAGTGAAATTTTCTTTTGCTGCCCATCATGTAATCTCCTTTTCTGAATAAGTGTATGTAAAAGATATCTGGAAAGCGACAACAGAAGCTAATTGCATAGTTCCTCCAGAGAAGGAAACTGAGAAATGAGATGAGGATGGAAGACATTCACTATGTACTATTTTATATCTCTTGAATTTTGAACCATGTTGTTGCTTTATTTATTCAAAATTAAATAGAATAAAAATTTTAAGTATTGAAAAATATTCCCTACTAATCTTAATACATTTTATTCCTTTTACATGTCATATTGCTTTGGCTAGGATTTCTGTTATAATGTTAAAGAGTAGTGGTGAAAGTGGACATCCTTGTCTTTCATAATATTGAAAATGTTCCTGAGAGTAGTGTGTAGTATGTTTATATGGAGTTATAGTTTGGAAAATATAACTTTGTAATGAAATGGCTTCCATTTACAAATTTCCAAGATGCTTAATTTTTGCCAAAACTAAACTGAATCATAAGCCACTTAAAGTGCTTTTTCATATGCTAACAAGCATTTCTTCTAATAGCTTTCTTGGGGGCAAATAGATTATTAATCCTCGTTTGTTTGTCTGTTTAATTATTTTAGATAATGAGAAGGAGAGGTTATCAAGCATGGAAAAGATAAAACAACTAAGAGAACAAGTTAATGACCTCTTTAGTCGAAAATTTGGTAAGTTTTTATATCGTTACATATCCAAAATTGATATAGTTGAAATAGTTCTTTTTAATCGAATACTTTATCTGAGAAACTGATCTTTCTGTGAAGGAGCTATAATCAAAATGAATGTGTATTTTTACTGAAAAGCTTTTACATCGGAACACTAATTAAAATAATAACAATAATAATAATAATAATAATAGCTATCTTTGATTTACTGAGTTCTTACCATTGCTGAGCGTTGTTTTTAATGCTGAACACGTGATTAAATATCTAATCGTCACAAAAACCTTTTCAGTAGATACTATGATAATCCCTATTTGATGGATTGAGAAACTGAGTCTGCTATACTACCCACTGGCAATTTCAGAATCAGTAAGATTATTCTTACATCATAGTACTCCTGGAAATTAAAATAATAATGGCTCATCACCATTGTTGTCACTTGATGTGAATGCTTTTTTTTTTTTTTTGAATATATTTTATTGAGTTCCCACAGAGAGGAAAGGAGAGAGATAGAGAGCCAGAAACACTGATGAGAGAGAAACATCGACCAGCCGCCTCCCGCACACTCCCCACTGGGGATGTGCCCGCAACCAAGGCACACGCCCCTGACCAGAATCGAACCCGGGACCTCCCAGTCCGCAGGCCGACGCTCCATCCACTGAGCCAAACCGGTCCCGGCGATGTGAATGCTTTTTAAATCTTAACGATAAAGCAGAGTTTGCGTTAAGTAAATGATGAATGCAATTAATGTTTTGCTGTTTGTCTCATCACAGGGGAAGCCATTGGAGTGGATTTCCCCGTGAAAGTTCCTTACAGAAAAATCACATTCAACCCTGGCTGCGTGGTCATCGATGGCATGCCCCCAGGGGTGGTGTTCAAAGCCCCTGGCTACCTGGAAATCAGCTCCCTGAGGAGGATCTTGGATGCTGCAGAATTTATCAAATTCACAGTCATTAGGTAAGTGAGAGTTCCCCTCTCGGTCATGAGGACGCATCTGCAGACAGTAACTTGCCTGCAGGAGATGAGGGCGGGATAGGGACTTTTACCCCAAGGAGGTGGGCGATGGGTCCCTGCAGTCAACTGCTGTGCCCTGCTGCCTCTCAGCTCATTTTATCATATTCTGCTTCCGTGAGTTGTGTGTCCCTGTCCCTGTTTCTTTTGTTACTGTTATTTTTAATCCTCATCCAAGGATATATTTTCTTTTGGTCTTTAGAGAGAATGGAAGGGAGGAATGAAGGAGGAGACAGAGAGAGAAACATTGATATAAGAGAGACACATTGTTGGGTTGCCTCCTGCACACACCCCAAGCAGGGGCCGGGGATCAAACTGCAACCCCAGTACATGCCCTTGACCGGGAATGGAACCCACAACCCTTTGGTACTCGGCCAGGGCCCTGTTCCTGTTTCTTGGTGATCATGGGCAGCTGTCTTCAGTTTTATATCTCACTGCAGTAGCATAGAGCTGACACTCACAAAAGTTTGTCAAATAGAACTAAATAGACAGGAGAGGAAATATGAACGTTGTTGCATTCACCAATATCTCTTTCTCTTCAGACCACTTCCAGGCCTCGAGTTTAACAATGGTGAGTATTCAGGAGGTGATATCATTCCAGCAGCCGCTGTGAAGCGGAAAGTGTCTTGGTGGGAACTGACCGCGGGGTCCTTGCTTCTTGAACCTTAGCGCAAAGCATGCTGCTCTTTATACGCATTTTCTTTTTCCTGCTTGTTGCAAAGTCTCTTAATTCTGTTCCTTGAATTTTCTTAGCCAGGCTTTTTTTTTTTTTTAATCCTCACCCGAGGATATTTTTCCATTGATTTTTAGAGAGAGTGGAAGAGAAAGGGAAAAAGAGAGAAACATTGATGTGAGAGAAACACATCTATTGGTTGCCTCCTGCCTGAGCCCTGACCAGGGCCCGGGCCAAGGAGGAGCCTGCAACTGAGGTATGTGCCCTTGATCAGAATCGAACCCGAGACCCTTCAGCCTGCAGGCCGACACTCTATCCACTGAGCCAAACCAGCCAGGGCCTTAGGCATTTTTTTCTCACACATGAGTTTGATGGACCTTGCTGCACAGCAGACTGTGTGTGATACGTGAGCCCTTTATGGTTGGGGCTCGTATCATAATACAGTGGTGCCTTGACTTACGAGTGTCCCGACTAACGAGTTTTTCAAGATACGAGCCGTCTCTCGGCCGATTTTTTGCTTTGAGTTGCAAGCTAAAATTCAGGTTACGAGCCAGCTTCAGATACTCCACCGCTAGTTGGCGCAGTAAATGTCACAGTGAACGCCACAACATCAGCCCAGCATCACATATCTCACTCATTCACTTTATGATTTGACATACGAGTAATTTGAGTTACGAGCTCTGTCACGGAATGAATTAAACTCATAAGTCAAGGCCCCACTGTACTAAGATGTCTTGTTCAGTTTTGCTCACTCTGTGCCTACCACCCTTTCCCTGCTGAGACTATGGAGTTCCCTTTATCCTAGTAATGGAACATTTGTGAATGGCACTTGTTTACATTAAAAGGGAATCTTTTTTTAAAAAATAAAGTAAATAAAAGTAGTGAAGTCCTGGCACTTCAATGGACGAGGCACCAGGCGAGCCGTTTAAAGCCAGTCGGGGCTGGTTCGAAAATTTTAAAAAGAGGACCGGCATTCACTCCGTTGTCAGACATGGTGAGGCAGCGAGCGCGGATATAAAGGCAGGTGAGGATCACCTCAAAACGTTTGCTGAAATTATAGCAGCAGAAGGATACGTCCCCCAGCAAGTCTTCAACTGTGACGAGACAGGACTCTTCTGGAAGAGGATGCCAAGGAGAACTTACATAACGGCAGAAGAGAAGGGGCTGCCAGGCCACCAACCCATGAAGGACCGGCTAACCCTCGCACTGTGTGCCAATGCAAGCGGCGACTGCAAGGTTAAGCCGCTGCTCGTTTATCATTCGGAAAACCCCCGAGCCTTTAAGTCACATAAGATTCTGAAAGAAAAACTGCAGGTTATGTGGAGGGCAAACCCGAGGGCGTGGGTCACCAGGCAGATCTTTGTGGAGTGGGTGAATTCGGTCTTTGGTCCTGGCGTTAAGAAATACCTCCAAGAAAATAACCTACCCCTGCAAGCTCTTCTTGTCCTGGACAGTGCACCTGCCCACCCACCTGACCTTGAAGATGACATCCTCGAAGAGTTCAAGTTTATAAAGGTGCTCTACCTTCCACCTAACATCACCCCTATCCTGCAGCCAATGGAACAGCAGGTGATTTCTAATTTCAAGAAGCTCTTCACCAAGCACCTGTTCCGCCACTGCTTGGAGGTGACGGAGAGCACAAACCTCACCCTTCGAAAGTTCTGGAAGGACCACTATAACATCGTGACATGCCTCAGAATTATCGATATGGCCTGGCAGGGTGTTACAAAGAGGACCTTGACTTCTGCGTGGAAGAAGCTGTGGCCTGAGGTAGTGTCTGAAACGGATTTTGAACCCGAAGCGGCAGTGGTGGAGGAGATTGTATCCCTCGGCAAGTCCATGGGCCTGGACGTGGATGAAGGTGACATCAACGAGCTCATCGAGGAGCATTCCGAGGAACTGACGACGCAGGAGCTAAAGGAGCTGCAGATGCAGCAGCACACGGAGGCTTTGCAGGAAATAGATGACACGGAGGAGGAGGGGGAGGTTACCTCTGTTAGTGAGATAAAGGAGATGTTGGGAGTGTGGGAGAAACTTTCAGACTTTATTCAAAAGAAACACCTAGAAAAAATTGCAACTGGGCGTGCAATGGAGCTATTTAATGACACTTGCCTAACTCATTTCAGAAATATTCTGAAAGGGAGGATGAAACAGATCTCATTGGACAGATTTTTATCGAAAACTCCTGTAGGTGAAAGAGATGAAAGCGTGGCGAAAAGGGCAAAAATCAGCAAATAAGATTCAGTTATTCAGTTCAGCCTTTCTCCTCCGACTCCATCAGCATCTTTAAGTCGTTTGATCTCCAAGGTAAATGCTGTACATTAAACTTAATAAAACAAGTTTATTGCACTACGTTCTATTGTTCAGTATTGTGTTTTTATATAATATTCGTTATTTTTAAATACATTTTTCTTATTTAAAAACATTTAACAAAACAATTGCGGTGTTTTTTGGGTGTCCGGAACGGATTAATGGCATTTCAATTCATTGTAATGGTGAAAATTGATTTGACATACGAGTAATTTGAGTTACGAGCTCCGTCACGGAACAAATTAAACTCGTAAGTCAAGGCACCACTGTACTGAACTAGTCCATCTCAGTTGGTAGACAGTGATTCCTGGCCACCCCAGCCCCACTCCCTGGGGCCCCTACCCTCCAACTCCCACAGTTCAGAACTAAAAGTGGTACCACCTGGCACAGCAGTGCTCCCAGAACCCTCCAAGCCCCCCTACCAGTGCTGAAAGTGACATCTGTTCTGACTGAGCAATGCCCCAGGCACTCTGCTGGTTAAATATTTTTAATGTCTCCCCTAGATTCTTACAAGCAAGCTACTATCCTATAGGGTGAGTGAGGCAGAAGGCGTAGAGATGTTCTCAAGAGCTTGAATCCCTAGGGAACCGCCTCACTTACAGTATTCTTTTGAAATGCTCAATTATTAGTCCTAAACTCATCTGGTTGCTAAATGATGTTTACATTTGTAATAGCTTTATCGAGGCACAATTCACATGCCAGAAAATTCACTCGTGGAGAGTGTACACAATTCAGTGATTGATTTTTAGTAAATACTGTATAGGGAGTTGTGCAGCTATCACCACAGTCTGATAGAAGGACATTTCCATTGCCCCCCAGACATTCCTCCTACCGACTTCCAGTCATTTCCCGTTCCCACCCCCAGGCCCAGGCATACCAACCACTAAATTGACTTTCTGTCTATATATACATATTAATTTGATGTAAAGTTCAAGCATTTAATTTTCTAGGAAAGTCTACCAAAAGTGAGTTTTCATGTCTGTGTTCTTTGGAAGTAAAGCATACTTGCATCATGGCCAGGTTCTTTCAGTTTAAAACAAGTTCTGTGCGGTCCTCTGGCCATCACCTGTGTCTTTTGTGATGCTCAGCAGGTGACTCATACACCTTCTGTGCTTGTTCCCTTCTCTGACTATAAAGTTCTCTTGAGAATCAAAAGAAAAAATACGTTCAATGCAAATGTACTTTCAAACCATTCCTCTTTAGACCAGATGTGGCAAACAGAGCTGCTTACTGAACTTGACCAGGATGTCTTTTGTTTGGCTCATATACTTTTAAAAATGGTAATCTGGCCACTATTAAAAAGCCTGGGACTTTTTCCTGAAAACCACTTTCCAGGCTTTCTTTGGAAATCTGCCGGTCTGGCCTCAGAGGCCCATTTCCCTCCAGCAGCCCTTTGCTAGGGCTGAGTGTCCACCGATCCTGGCTGCAGGGGCGGGTTACTCTCCAGTTAACCACACCCCCTACCCACTTTCTCTCTTCCGCTTATCCTCATGCTTTTGCTGCTGCTTTTCTAATAGCAGAGTTAAAAGAAAAGTGAACTATTTCTTTATTTCTTTATTCTCTATGTCTTTATCAAAAGTGGGAAAAAGAAAGATAGACCTTGAGGGCCGTGTATTTCAAGAAAAGTGGGAGAGAGCGTATTTCTTCGTGGAAGTGCAGAATATTCCTACGTGCTTAATATGCAAACAGAGCATGTCTGTGTCAAAAGAATACAACCTCCGACGCCATTATCAGACCAACCACAGTAAGCACTATGACCAATACACTGAGAAGATGCGCGATGAGAAGCTTCACGAGTTAAAAAAAGGCCTCAGAAAGTATCTCTTCGGGTCATCAGAAACTGTGTGTCCTGAGCAAAAAGAATTATTTGCAAATGCGAGTCCCAACGACAACGCTGCCATGCAGGCTGCAGAAGATGTGACTGGGAACTTATGGGAGAAGTTACGTGAAAAAATCCGATCATTTGTGGCCTACTCGATTGCGATCGATGAGATCACAGACATTAATAACATCACCCAGTTGGCCATATTCATCCGTGGTGTCGATGAGAGTTTTGATGTGTCGGAAGAACTTTTGGATACAGTGCCCATGACAGGTACAAAATCTGGAAATGAAGTATTTTTGCGTGTTGAGAAAAGCCTTAAGAAGTTCAATATCGACTGGTCGAAATTAGTGAGCGTGGCCTCCACGGGCACCCCTGCCATGGTTGATGCAAACAATGGGCTTGTGACAAAGCTGAAGTCCAAGGTGGCCACGGTTTGCAAGGGCTCGGACCTGAAGTCCGTTTGCTGCATTATTCACCCGGAATCGCTCTGCGCTCAACGGTTAAAGATGGACCACGTCATGAATGTGGTAGTGAACTCCGTGAACTGGATATGCTCCCGTGGCCTGAACCACAGCGAGTTCACAACTTTGCTCTATGAACTGGACTGCCAGTATGGCAGCCTCCTCTACTACACGGAGATTAAGTGGCTCAGTCGTGGGCTGGTGCTGAAGAGGTTTTTTGAATCGTTGGAAGAAATTGATTCCTTCATGTCATCCAGAGGGAAGCCCCTGCCTCAGCTGAGCTCTCAAGACTGGGTCAGAGACTTGGCCTTCTTGGTCGATATGACAATGCATCTGAACACTTTGAGCCTCTCTCTCCAAGGCCACTCACAAATCGTTACGCAGATGTACGACTTGATTCGGGCGTTTCTGGCAAAACTGTGCCTTTGGGAAACTCATTTGGCAAGGAATAATCTGGCCCACTTTCCCACCCTGAAATCAGTTTCCAGAAATGAAAGTGACAGCCTGAACTACATTCCCAAAATTGTGGAGTTAAAGACCGAATTCCAGAAAAGATTGTCCGACTTCAAACTCTACGAGAGCGAACTGACCCTGTTCAGCTCCCCTTTCTCCGTGAAGATCGAGAGCATCCACGAAGCCCTGCAGATGGAGGTGATTGAGCTGCAGTGCAACATGGTGCTGAAAACCAAGTACGACAAGGTGGGGATCCCCGAGTTCTACAAGCACCTCTGGAGCAGCTACCCGAGATATAAGAGCCACTGTGCAAAGATTCTCTCCATGTTCGGGAGCACTTACATTTGTGAGCAGCTGTTTTCCATTATGAAACTGAGCAAAACGAAATACTGCTCCGAGCTGAAGGACTCCCAGTGGGACTCGGTCCTCCACATCTCGACATGAAGAGCATGCTCCCGGAAATGCCCCATGGGCTATAAGACTAGAGTCCTCTAGACCAGTGGTCGGCAAACTGCGGCTCGCGAGCCACATGCGGCTCTT